CATTCCGTTAGGTCACCTCTCTTTGGAATAGGTACAAATAGAGATCATGAGATTTTCTGCCATAAATTCCTGGTCTCCGCTGTTGAGATTATGGTGAAGAGGTCAAAGGTAGGGAATAACTATGATTTTTGTTATGAATGAATATATTTACAAGTTTGAGCTTAAACAGTCATTTACACTTAGTTTTCTTTCCCACAGCTAGAGACTGTATCGCTTACCTTAAGTTACCTGTACTGTGTTGACCATTTATAAAAGGCAAGACTATGGATATCTCAAGCTAGTCCTTTACTAGAGAGACATCTCAGGCTATATCATATCTTGGACAGTGTTTCTGCTTTTTTTCTTTACACAGAAATTGTTGTTGTTATAGCGTTTCCAAGGAACAGCTGGTGGGTTTGAACTGTCGACCTTGTGGTTCACTGTCCAGTGCTGATCCTACAGCGCCATACCAGGAGTCAGAAACAGACCCATGTTAATGCTCTGAACTTGCACTCACTTATGGTTTTGGTCAAACTCATAGTAAGTCCACTTATCTCTCAGCCAAAGTATCAATCTTATTAAAAAACCTATTATGATATCTGAGAGCACAGAGGCTCTGTGCTCTGAACCACAAAGTCAACGGTTAAAGCCTACTAGTTGCGCCGCATGAGAAAGATGAGGCTTTCTGCTCCCACAATGATACACAGCTTCGGAAACCCTATTTGGGTTGGCTATGTGTGGGAACTGACTAGATGGCACTTAACAACAACATATGCTGATACAAGTATAGCACAGAAAAGTACTGGTATTTTATGACAAGGTAGGTGGGGAAAATATAGAGGTCTTTAAAAGGTTAAACTGTGGTAAAAAGATAGCTTTATAGGTCATGTCTATATTTGTATCAGTACATTTCACTTTAATATACATAATTTACAGGCAAAATCATGAAAATTACCTCATGCTGGGACAACATAAATTATAGAATGCAAACGGGAGCTCAAGGCTTCTAGCACAGCATGCACACAATCTACTAGCTCTTCAAAATGACGTTCTAAAGGTGTCAGCTGCATTCTTCAGCAATGAGTAACTGCTGAGATGTCTCTTTAACTTGTTTGTAGATTCAGAGAAAAAAGCACACTTGGGGACCCCACAGAAATCTGCTTTCCTAAAAGCACACTAGACAAAGATATGATGGCCACCTTTTTTTTTTTTTTGGTTTTACTGCTTTCCTGGTACCTATGATAGCATGCATGTGTTTGTCTTAAAATTAAAATCTTTGCTAATCAAGCACTGCATTGAAGTACAAATGATGCCCTCAGCAGGTTAGATCAGAAATCTGTGTTTGCTTTAATTCTCTCATTAAGACAGTCATGAATAGTTTCTCATGAGCTAAGAATTACTTTTGTCATAAAGTGAAGATCAAGGAAAGCAGTGAAGACAGGATGAATATAACAGAAATATGGTTCCTTAAAACACTGCCTAACTTATCATCTAATGTTCAGGAAAGAAGCCTGTACAATTCAGGTCCCCAGCAGCAGTCTAAAGAAACATGCTGAGGTTAAAAAGCTCTTTGAGAACTT